GGGCAGTGGTGGAGTCCCCATCCCTGGACATGTTAAAAAACCATGTAGACATGGCACTTCAGGACATGGTTTAGTGGGCACCTTGGTGTTGGGTTGATAGCTGGACTTGATGATCTTTGAGGTCTTTTCCAACCTTAGTGATTCTATGAATCTATTCACATTCCCAGCTATATATTTAATAATTTCTAATTTAATTGATTAAGCCCTATGACTACAGTATCTCTTGTGATCTCGAGTGGTTCAGCTATATTAACAGGAATCTCTCTTCTGAATACAGTTGACTTTGTCTCAGCACCTAGTTAGTTGTTGTTTTTTCTTGGTTTCTTAGGGACCTGACGTTTGGAAGCGCAGTGGAGGTGCAAGGGAAACTGGTCAAAAGCCCTCACAAGATGCAAAACGTGGAGCTGAAAGCTGAAAGCATCCGTGTGGTGGGACCTTGTGATATTTGGGTATGTCACTGCAGCAGGAGTCCAACTGGTAGGACTGCTTTGGAAATTAATTTCAAAAGGTCCAAGTATCCAGCAAAGCATGCTTCAGAGAGGATGTTCTTGAAGTTGGGGGCCTACAAGAAAGCTGGGGAAGGACTTTTCATAAGGGCAGTTAATGACAAAACAAGGGGAAATGGGTTTAAGCTGAAAGAGGGGAGGTTTAGATTAGATATGAGGAAGAAGTTCTTCACTGTGAGGGTGGTCAGACACTGGAACAGGTTGCCCAAGGAAGTTGTGGATGCCCCCTCCCTGGAAGTGTTTAAGACCAGGCTGGATGAGGCTTTGAGCAACCTGGTCTAGTGGAAGGTGTCCCTGCTGCTGGCAGGGGGGTTGGAACTGGATGAGCTTTAAGGTCCCTTCCAATCCAAACCATTCTATGATTCTATGATTTGAGTGCTCCTGCAGGCAGTGTCTATAGGGTATGTCAAAGGAGAAACATGGAATACCCATGAAAGCTCTCTTGAGGGGCAGAAACTGGCACACATGCTGGCACCTAAGAGTCTGCATTTGTCGCACCCTGAATCAGTTACCTGTGCCAGGTGGTTTACCTGGTAAATCTGGCTGGGATACAAATTGGAGAAGAAGTGGGACTAGCTAAATACTCCAGACTGTGCAGGTGGAGGAACTGTATCTGCCACAGGCACACTTAGAATCACAGAATGGTTTGGGTTGGAAGGGACCTTAAAGCTCATCCAGTTCCAACCCCCCTGCCATCAGCAGGGACACCTTCCACTAGACCAGGTTGCTCAAAGCCTCATCCAGCCTGGCCTTCAACACTTCCAGGGATAAAATAACTAGAAAAGGTGGACACAAGCATCTAGTTCTTCTCTGCTCGATAATACTGAGTGAGTTTTGGTAGGCGGAGATGATATTCCATGAATGGCAATAAAACTACGTTGTCTACAAGTTCTCATCCTCTTGGTTCTCTTTCCTTGTTGTTTTCAGTCCTTCCCCTTCAAGATGAAGGAGAGGCACCCGCTGGAGTATGTCCGACAGTTCCCTCACCTGCGATGCAGGAACAACACGCTGGGCTCCCTCCTGAGAATCCGCAGTGAAGCCACAGCAGCCATCCACTCGTTCTTCCAGGTAGTCCCTTCTGTCCCCAGCCTCATCTCTAACACACTCCCTCAGTTTGGCTTCACAGGAGCACGTTGGGAGGGAGGCAGCGTGATGTCTTGACTGCAGGGTGTGGATTTTTGACATGGTGGGTTTTTTTCCCAGGCCTGGGCCTGACTGAGGCCTTGGTGGGACTGTTGCTTATGATCAGGTTAGTGCACCTGTGGTCTTCTTAGCATCTTTCCCCCCATTTCCTCTTAGATATTTTATTCCTTTCACTGAGTTGCAATATAACTGTCTGTGAGTGTGTGTGGTCTGTGGAACACAATGTAATATGGAGTTGTTTAACCCACCCTCAGCAATGACCTTGAGGTCCTTGGACAGAAGCTTTTTCCCACACAGGAAAATCAGTGATGCAGGAAGACTGCTGACAAACTGACTCAGAGCTTCACGTTATTCTTCTCGGTTCTTAACTTTCTGTTACTGCCTTACAGATCTGTGTGGATGCTGTTAGCTGAGATTAGGAGACTCCTGTCTTGATGCATTTCAAACTGGTGGGTGGGAGGCACCTAGATTTTAGGAAAGTGTCACTATTAAGCTGTGGGTGTGGTACAGGCTCTGTGCTGGCAGGAGGGGCCAGTGAATTAACTCTGATTCCAGATGCCTTGTAGAGATCGGGCAGTTCTTTGCATGAGTATCACAGAATTGCCTCAGTTGGAAAAAACCTTTAAGATCATCGAGTCCCATCATGAACCCAACACTGACAAGTCCCCGACTAACCCATGTCCCTCAGCACTGTGTCTACACGACTCTTCAATCCCTCCAGGGATGGGGACTCCACCACTGCCCTGGGCAACCCCTTCCAATGCCTCAGAACCCTTTCAGCAAAGAAATTCTTCCTCACATCCCATCTCAACTGCCCTTGGCACAACTTGAGGCCATTTCCTCTTGTCCTGTCCCTTGGTTGAACAGACCCACCCCCACCTCTCTCCACCCTCCTTTCAGGGAGTTGGACAGAGCCACAAGGTCTCCCCTCAGCCTCCTTTTCTCCAGGCTCAACAACCCCAGTTCCCTCAGCTGGGAACTCAGCACACTTGTGCTCCAGACCCTTCCCCAGCTCTGTTGCCCTTCTCTGGACACGCTCCAGCACCTCCATGTCCTTCTTGGAGTGAGGGGCCCAAAACTGAACCCAGCTCTCGAGCTGCGGCCTCACCAGTGCCCAGGACAGAAAAGAGAACTCCCCTGCTCCTCCTGGCCACACTGGTGCTGATCCAGGCCAGGATGCTCTTGGCCTGTATATAAAGTAGGTAAAGAAAGGTAACAGGTCCTCTAGCACACTTAAGCCCTTTCTTTCAAAGCTGTTAATTGAAAGAAACATGTTTTAGTTCAGATAAACTGGCTTTAGTTTGAGTAGAATCATATTCAGAACATTCTGATTACAAAATTCCTATGTAGTAATTAACACGGCCCAAAGAACAGGTCAGAATTTTTTAGACTGTATTTCTGGTCCTGACTGCACTTGTATTTGCCACCTGCAGTGGCTGGTTTGCTCTAAGAGTTATCTGTATGGAATTGCATGGTATTTAGAAGTGGTTTTTTGGTTTTGTTTGTTTTTTTAGAGTGTAATAGAAATACTGTGTCAGTTAAAACTGCTGTGGGTGTCAGCATTGTGCCAGCTCACAAGAGGAACCCAGCTCTGCTGGGAATCGGGCTTTGATGTGGTTGTGCCAGTAGATGGCATTGCCTACAACAGTTTGTGATTTCAAACATGCACAAGGAAGCCAGCTGAGGAACAAAAAAGGATCTTATTCTGGCAAAGGCTTTACTTCTCCAAATTAATTCCAGTTCAGACTCTGACATATCTTCCTGTTTAAAATCCTCAAGAGCAAAGCAGTATCATAAAATATAAATTTAATTAATTTAGCAGCAGCTGCCATGCTACAGTTATTTTTGAAGGGATAAGGAAGATTTGATCCCAGACCTGATATTTTTGAATGCTTAAGTCACGACTCTTCTGGCACCAGGAATTTCTGTGGTTTGTTACATTTCTGGTGGAAGGAAAGCAATCTTTTGAAATAACCACCTACATCATTCCAAGAATGTTGCAATTTCCAACTTGACAATGTCACAACATACAACTAGAAAGTATAATTGGAGTGTTTTCCCTGTGCAAAGCTATGAAGAGCTTAATGGTGAAAGAAAGAAACCAAGTCCCTGAAAGGAGGGTGGAGAGAGGTGGGGGTGGGTCTGTTTAACCAAGGAGCCAGTGACAGGACAAGAGGAAATGGCCTCCAGTTGCACCAAGGGCAGTTGAGATTGGATGTGAGGAAGAATTTCTTTGCTGAAAGGGTTCTGAGGCATTGGAAGGGGTTGCCCAGGGCAGTGGTGGAGTCCCCATCCCTGGAGGGATTGAAGAGTCGTGTAGACATAGTGCTGAGGGACGTGGGTTAGTCGGGGACTTGTCAGTGTTGGGTTCATGACTGGACTCTATGATCTTAAAGGTCTTTTCCAATAGAGACAATTCTGGGATTCTGTGAAAGTGGAGGTTTTTGCACAGACACTTGAAATTATCTAGATTCTATGTAACTTCAAAAAAACTTTGGGTTTAGCCTATTCTTTTCCAGCAGTCAATGACTCACGCCAAGTGCCTTTGGTTTGGATGTTGGAGGCTAAAATGTCATCTTTAAATCTTCTGAGTATTGTGGTCTGTGTGGGTTAGGAACATTGTTCCTAGGCACAGTAAAACAGTTGCAATGTGAATAGCAACTTCCACTTTGCCCTTTAACTAACTTTGAACTTTGTCAGAGCCAGTAATGCCACTTAAAGTATTTTAGGACCTTTTGTAGGGGGAACTATTTAAGAGGTTTTTATGAGATTCTCATCTGTCAGACCTGTGCAGGTCACATTCGTTTCCAAAGCATGTAAGGGGTCTTTTGTGTGAAATGTGCTTCTTTCCTCCTATGGTGGTAGCAGTTTCTGTAATTTAGGCAATTTTCCAAAATCTCATGTAGGGTTGGGAGGCCACGTGACCAGCAGGTCTCTGGAGTGTGTGTGGGGTTATCACAGAGACCTGTATTTTGTATTGGTTGGCTGAAACCGCCTCCCACAGAATCCCAGAATTGCCTCGATTGGAAAAGCCCTTTAAGCTCATTGAGTTAAACCATGAACCCAACACTGACAAGTACCCAACTAACCCATGTCCCTCAGCACTGTGTCTACACGACTCTTCAATCCCTCCAGGGATGGGGACTCCACCACTGCCCTGGGCAACCCCTTCCAATGCCTCAGAACCCTTTCAGCAAAGAAATTCTTCCTCACATCCAATCTCAACTGCCCTTGGCGCAACTTGAGGCCATTTTCTCTTGTCCTGTCCCTTGTTCCTTGGTTGAACAGACCCACCCCCACCTCTCTACACCCCAGGCAAAGCAAATTAAACTAAAACTTTCTGTGTAGAACCTGGATCTCAGTGAGGAGCTCCTGCCAGGCACTCGCCAAGCCAGGGTCTTTGCACCTGTAACCAAGGTAGCCTAGAGCTGACTGCAGGGTCTTTGCTCCCTCTTGGTTGTGTTATGGTGCTTCCACAAAATGCATTTCATGTCTGTACAAACTCTTTGGTCCAAATTAATTTTAGTTTGATTCTCAGGATGGGCAGTAAATACTGCTCGTGTCTTCTTAGGCTTTTAACTACCTGGTAATAAGGACCAGGACCTGTCATGTGTATGGTCAGTTTGTATTAATCTGGTAAAAGCTGTGAAACTAAGCTTTTAGAAACATTTAGTTTTGTATCTTTTTTTTTTTAGTAGCATTTTGTGTAAATAGACAATGGGTTATGCTACATCATTGCGTGTATCAAGGTAATGCTGTCACACCCTGATTTTAAAGGGGTTCCCTTTGTCTCAGACATTAGAGTGATGCCAAAGAAAACAAACCCTTTGTTCACAGCTGAAATCAGCTAGTTCCAGGTTCTTGTTTGCCTTGACATGCTGTGGTGTGATCTCTGTAGTGAGACTTAAGTTAAGAAACTGACGGTTAGTCGAGTTCTGTTCCTGGTTTTGCCTTTAACATGCTGTATGTGATTTTCTGAGGTCTGCTTGATGTAGCCATCCACTGAAGATTGGGTTGCAGCTGGTTTAAAACCCTATGGCTGCACTGAAGAGAAACCCAGAGAATAGGGGCTTCCTGGTTTCAGAGGCCTCTGCTGGATCTATAAACTGTTTCTTGAATGGGTAATTCTCCAGGTACCTAAAACATGACCAAGCTCAGGATATACCCTGCCTCTTAAAAAGTCAGTTTGACGTTGGTTTCTCAGAAGATGTGAGGTGGGACTGACATTTTCATAGTGGTTGGGTGTTTTTAAGGCCTCTCTCCCATGCAGTCTTCTGATTTCTGTCATGTAACAGACTTGATCATTTCTTATAGTGGAGAACATGAAGAGAACATCCTCTGCCTAACCACCAGCTTTCAAAACTCTGGAAGGAACTGAAGTGTTGAGGCTGTAGGGGTGAATTTGATTGAAACTACCTAAAAATATAAAAATACTGGAGGAGGTGAGAAGAGAGGGCAATGGCATGAAGCTGTGCGATTGCAAAAACCCATAATAACCCATAAATCTCATGAAGCATGGAGGAAAAAGCACAAATATTAAACAATTTGTAAATCATGCTGGTGTTTAGTTAGTCCTCTCTCCATGTAAGGCAGAAGCTGCCTAAGAGAATACATGTGCTGTCCTGGCTGGGGGCTAATAGCAGAGTTATGATGTGAGCTGGTTGATGTCATCCTGATATCTTTAGCTAGTTAACTTTTAGTGTTCTCTCTTTTCCAGGATCATGGCTACGTGCATATCCATACTCCCATCATTACATCAAATGATTGTGAAGGTGCCGGGGAACTCTTTCAAATTGAGGTACGTGGCATAAAAAAAGTTTGTTTGGTTTTTGCTTGCAGAGCAATTTTGGAGTCATTAAAGGTTAGAGGAAATGTTTGTCTTTACAAAAACCTTTCCTTTATGTACTTCTGTGATTATTTTTTTAATATAGTAGTCCTTTGCTTCAACTAATAATTTAAACAGATGCATTACTTTTTTAATTGCTGTTTTGTGCATTAATCATCACCTTTTGTACTGATGAGGTTTTTCTATCCCCGGTGCTGTGGAAATATTTACAAAGAGCAACAGAGGCAGGTGGAACATCTTGGTAAACAGAAAGATGTGATCATAAGAGGCCAAGAGAAGGGATGGGATATTCAGGACAGCCTACTACATGTAAATATTTCTTAGCTTTGAAATGAAGAGTATAATTCACTGTGAGATAACTCCTTAAAAGAAAGTCAGCAGTGCCTAAAACTCCTCTTCACATGTGTCTATATTCCTCTGTACAAGCTGCTACTGATGTATGTTGGAATTCTCCCCCAATATTGCCAAGTCTCTCTGTCCATCCACCAAATTGCTGCCACAATCTATCATTATATAAATTATTTCATGCCTTGGGTCAAAACCTCCTCTGAAACTTAAATACTGCTATATCCACTAAGATCTTCCCCACGGATTTCTCATGATTCCTAACCCCAACATCCATGAATCAGAAGAAATTCCATCTGCCTTTTATGCTTCTATATTTGCAATTCACTCTTCTGTCTCAAACAATTACATCCTTTGCCACTTATGCTTATTGGCTCCAGCTTTGCTGGTGAATCATCTGTAAGCAAAAGAAAAATTGTTGAGGTAGCAGTTGCTTGTTGTGGGATCGTGTCTTCCACTCTCTTGCCTCATGACAAAAAGCTGGTACTGGTTCTTCAGGATCTCAAGGTCTAACCTGTGCTACTATTGATTCCCTTCCAGACCAGTACACGTGGCTCAGCTTTTTTTTGCTTGCTAGGACAATAGTGTTGATTAGCTGAACTAAATTGTTCCTGTTTAATTGAGATCCCTTAACGTTACCAAAGGTTCATTCCAGGCTGTTGCATGCAAATTAAGATGTGAAAACAAGTGACACTTAATGATGAGAACATTGCACAGTTTGCAGCTGTACAGTGCCTTACGTCTGTGGTACAAATTGTATCCACTTGAAAGCTGTAAAGGATGCAGGACTGCAGCGTAGGTGGCTGCTGGGAACAGAAGCACTGATGCAAATGGTGATTGAGGTGCTAAATTGTGAGTCTGAAACTTGTATGAAGTGGATCTTAACTAAATGTACAGTTCAAGGCAAATCTCTGTCTTTCTCTCCAGTGTGATTGCTTGGGTGGAAATAATACCTGTCTTGGGGAAATGTAGTGACAGCTGTGCTTGAAAGGTGTGGAGTCAGTGCAGAGTCAGATCCCATTAAATGACCTTTCTGAAGCCACAGGGAAGGGGCTTCAGAACCCCACTTGCTGCTCGGAAGTTCCCCCTGATTTCCTATTTCTTCTTTGACGCACCACTTCGTTGTCTGGCCTAATTTAGGAGTTTGGGTTTTGTTTGGGTTTTTGGGGGGTTTTTTGGGGTTTTTTTTCATAGAATCATAGAATGGTTTGGATTGGAAGGGACCTTAAAGATCATCCAGTTACAACCCCCCTGCCATCAGCAGGGACACCTTCCACTAGACCAGGTTGCTCAAAGTCTCATCCAACCTGGCCACAAACACTTCCAGGGAGGAGCAGCCACAGCTTCTCTGGGAAACCTGGACCTGTGTCTGACCACCCTCACAGTGAAGAACTTCTTCCTAATATCTAATCTAAACCTCCCCTCTTTCAGTTTAAACCCATTTCCCCTTGTTCTGTCATTAACTGCCCTTATGAAAAGTCCTTCCCCAAGTCCTTCTTTTTCTGCAAAGCTGTGTTCAGAATTGGTTTTGGCTAGCAGGGATCCAAGACCACTTCTGCTGTAACCACTTCACTCCACTGGAGCAGTGATGCTATTTCTTGACAGATTAGGTCTTCATTGGACCACACATGAGGCTGTCAGACATAAAAATAAGTGACATAAGTGTGTCAGACATAAAAATAAGGGTGTGGTATTTGCAGCAAACCCAGATTCTCTGTATGCTTTTAATCAAACCAAGCATCAACACATTCCCCATCTGCTGTGTTCAGGCACTTTTAAACTAGCCTTTAATTCACTGCTTGCACAGGCCAAGGGAGAAAATAAATTCCCCTTCCTCTTATATTTGAGCAGTAGCCAAGAATTGTGATGATGGGAATCGGTGAAAACAACCTGCAAATTAGATTCTTCAATTTAAAAAAAAATGTTTAAATACTGTACTTAAAAGTTTTAAGACTTATCCTCTAGTTGCAACCAGAACATAAACTGTGTCCTGTTGCTCCTGAATTTGTAGTAGTTACAATACACCTGCTGCTTACAGGGTTTGGGGTTTTTTCTGCCTTTTTTTTTTTTTTAGCTCCCTTGGGTGATGTAAAAACCTGATAATCTCACCAGTTTAACTGTCCTGCTGCTGGTGGAATGAGTTGAAAACTTTGCTTGGGTAGTGTTTAGGACCCAAGCAGAAGCTGCTTTTCCACCCACTGTGATCTGTTGCCTTTTAATAGCTGCCTTCTCCCGACTGGCACGATTTTAATCCTCTTGACTAATCTCTGGTGGCTGCTCAGACCCACGCGTTCTTTGGAAATGGTGGAAAGTGAAGAGGGTAGGAATCTTGTTTTTACATGAGACTTGAGGAGATGGGGGGTGGAGGGAAGTATCTTGAGTTAGAAGGAAAATGCTTTTTGAAGGCATATGATCTTTGATTCCTAGACCTCTTAATCCTGTAGGATTTGTGTTTGTTTATATGTTCAGATTCCTCATTATCTTTGTTTACTTTTGGGTGTACTGATTAGTCTGTACATAGCTTTGGCGGGGATGTTCTCATACTAGGACTTGGGATGGGGAAAAATCTCTTCCCTCTCTGCTGGGCAAATAGTTCAGCTAAATATTTTTTAAAATGAAGTACCATAACAGTGAAAAGAGGGTGGTAAGCAGAGGAGATTTTAAAAAATAAATAAATCACAAGATGGTAGGAACTTGTGGGTGGTCAGACACTGGAACAGGTTGCCTGAGGAAGTTGTGGATGCCCCCTCCCTGGAAGTGTTGAAGGCCAGGCTGGATGAGGCTTTGAGCAACCTGATCTAGTGGAAGGTGTCCCTGCTGATGGCAGGGGGGTTGGAACTGGATGAGCTTTAAGGTCCCTTCCAACCCAAACCAGTCTGTGATTCTACCTTCAGATAAATCTTTTGCAGTTGAGACTTTTTACACCTGAAAAGTATAAGTTTGAGGAGAAACTGTGCAAACAACCAGGCAGACCCCAACCCACGTGCAGAACATCAGCAACACCAGCTTGTGGATTTCTGCACCTTTGATGGTGTCTGCCTTTGGTGGAAACCTGGAGGGGGAAAGCCTCTTGCTTGTGCTGCCTTCTTTAAAGTAAATTTACTGAAAACACCAAAAAGAGCTTTTAATATTAAAAGCTGGGTTTTAGTAGAATTCAAAGGAGGACAAGGTAATTCTTGAAATAAGGGGAATGCTGATCACAGGGTGAGACAGCCCTTTTTATTTTATTTTAATTTAATCTGAGAATAATTCTTCTGTACTAGCAGTCTTAGCACCTCAGGGCAGATCCTTTTCTTCCTTTTTTCTTTTTTTTTCTTCTAAAGTCTAAAATTCTTAGCAGCTTTGTATGTTGCAAGAAACTACCCAAGTTCCCTTCTGGGGCTGCTTCCTAGGAAATCTGCCTTTCTTTTGTCTCTGTGACCTGCTTGCGTGTCTGTTCCCTGCTATTTTCAGTAGCCTCCCACTCTGTCTGCAGCGTCGAAGACTCCCTGCTTTCTGGGTTTCTTGCTCTGTCTTTTCCACTTTGCTCTCTGGAAAGTTTCCTTGTTTGATTGTCCTCAGCTGCTTCAGGGACAGAGTTTTTCTGGCCCAGTCTGCTCTGGAAGAGTCTTTCTGGCCCAGGACATTCCAGCTGCTATGGTGAGGCCCTGGACAGCCACTTTCCCTGCCGCCCAGCTGCAGCCTTTTAAAAGAACTCAAGATGCAGCCAGTTACAAAGCACAGCAGCTGTATTGGCATTCACAGCTCTGTGAAGTACATCTCACATGTGTTTTGTATTGCCTGTGGCCTTATTCCTTCCTGGGGACCCTGCTCTGTGTGTAAGGAGTGCTGCACTCTACCTGTTGGCTCCAGCAGAGTTAACACGTGCTCTGTATCAAGCTTGTCTCTTCCCACACACATACCTCGTTGCATCTGGGTGTTGTTTGACTAAACCCTGGGTCTGAATCAGGCTATTTCATTATTTTGAAAGGATAGTTACTTAACTGTAAACCCTAAGAACCATCCAGATGTTGTACTTATCTAAAATGTATCCAGACATCAGAGATTTTATGGTGTTTGGTGTTTTACCACCTGCTCAAAGGAGTGAAAATAAAAGTTTCTAGATCCCTGAAGGGTGCAAGTGAATGGTTGTGCCTCCTGTGGCACCAGAAATACGTGCCTGCTGCTAAAGATGCAGAAACTTAGTCCTACTGTTCCCTCAGTACTGCTGAAAAATAGCATTGTCAGCACCAAGGAAGGCTGGGATCTGCTGGGGACAATCACAGTTGAATGCAGCAGTACTAGGGTCTGTCAGGTGTTTTCCTCTTTAGAGATGCAGCCAGTCCCTGTGAGACTGGGATTTCAGAGAGATGCTCACAGGGATTGGGGTGAGCTGGAACTGAGCTGAGGGAGAGCTTGCTCTTACATTTTCTAGTTCTCCCAGTTTCTGCTCATTTCTACCTGGTTCATCTCTGCCTGTAATTCCAGTCCATATTTATGAGATGTTTGTCACAGCAGAACCAGCTGCTATTGCCCAATGCAAGTCCAGCTGATCAGAATTAAGTCTGGAATTTCAAGGAGGACTTCTTGGAAGTTATGAATTTTGCAGTAGTTGTCTAAAAGGGAAA